ATATATATATATTTGGGTCAGGGCCTATTGCTAGGTCAATTCGATTCTCTTTTTATTTTTAACCATAAGGAAAAGCTTTATTGGTGGCATTTTGCAATAGTTGGGGTTACATTCCTGAAGTTGCGTTTGTAAATAGTGGCACGTCAAGCTGGCGCACCACACATTCGTATACAAATGTATTCTTGCGAGAAGAAAAATTCTTCATCCAAATAGGGCTTCCAATGATGTATTATTTGTTTATTTTAATTCGCTAAGAAATTTAAAAGATGGAGTGCTTGAATTCCAAGACATCATCCAAAATAAAATCGAGCGAAATTTATGTGAAAGTCCAATTTTATTTTTAAAATTTAAAAGTAACCCTATGTATTCATGTTTTACAACTCAAGTTCCTTCTTTGAGAGCATATATGCGTAAATTTTATATATCCATACTTCTGAATGTTTGCATGCATTTTTAATTTTATATATCCATACTTCTGAATGTTTGCATGCATTTTTTCTACTCCCAGCAAATCCGTGCCAAAAAGCCCATATGAAACCAAAGGGCCAAGAATGGAGAAAGAGCTCCCACTTAAGCATTTTATATCCATAATTTGTAGATTTAAAATTTTGTAAATCCTCATTTTGCATGTTGGAGGGTATCGGAATATAAAACAGGGGGCTTAAAATCAATTATGACCTTGGGGAAGACAAATACAAATTTGTCCCAAATCAAGCCTCAAGGTAGCCCCCTCATGCCCCTCCAATTTCAGCTCAAAATGACACCAAATGAAGAAGGTACAATCGAAATACTATACAAGTTCTTAAATCATTGTAAATAGGTCAAAATTACAAAAGAGCCCCTATAAATGAGTCTCAGACGGGCGGGTCCAAGACCCATTACAAATGCAAATAGAGGCCCTGAAAACTCAACCCCAAAGTTTTGCACCAACTGAGCCCACTTGCTAAAAGATCAACGATGTAGCATACTGCAGAAAAGTTAATTCCTGTGATATTCCAAAACTGGGGGTAAAAAGTTGCATAAATAACAAATTTTGGTACATTTTTAGCCTCAATTTCTCCTGGACCCTAAGGTAGATAAACCCTAAGCAAAGATATGTCATTCCAAGTGTTGTAGGCTATTGGTAAAGTCCATATTGGAGGATCTCTCTCTCCGAAAGAGGATAAAAATCTAGAGATAAGTTGGCTACTTTTCATGTCTTTCCATCCAAATCATATGAGTTTTACCTCCTGCCATTTTTTCGTGATCTCTATCAATCTGGTAAGGATCCAAACTTCCTACAGTATACAAAAAGCTACAATCGAATCGAAAGCCAATTTCGAGCAAATTCGTGCACAAAACTGAAGACAACTAATTTTACACTTCGATCCAATTAAAAGGCTCATAATTCACCTAATAAGGGGAGTTTTTTGGGAGTTCTTGAACCAAAACGTTCATAACATCGGTATACATCTCCTATCGATCATGGAATATCAATAAATCAACTAAAACGGGTCAGAAAATGAAAAAAAAAAAAAAAGGGCATGGAAAAAAGGATTTTATTGATCTTTTTTTTCCATGCACGAGCACAGATCCAAACGTCCCTCAATTCTAGGAATTTTCGGGCAAAATTTGTTGCAAAATGATGGGATGAACCGGTCTACGATTTTCCCAAAAGATGAAGAATGAAAACCACATATTATATATGAGGGTTGAACAAAACTTTCTATGGACTTGGGATAAAATTTTGCACATTGTAGGCCCCAAAATTCGCCAATTCATTTTTGGGGGAGATACAAAATTAATTACCCATCCTCCTTTTCCCAAAACATTAATAATCTTCCGGTGCGAAACTATTTCAAATTTTAAATTTTAAAAAATAAAAGTCAAACTATATTAAATTTTAGAGTAAAAAACTACCTAAAATTTTTGAGAGAGAAACTATCTCCAAACTTTTGTTAACTAATAAAGCAAACGAGCCATTAACACTCAAATTTGACCATCCAAAAAAACCTATCCTTTAGCTTTTGGAAGTTAAATTTCTTTATGCTCACAAGCACTTTTAAGTGACCATCCCAAGAAACCATCCTTTAGCTTTTGGAAGTTAAAATTTCTTTATGCTCACAAACACTAGGGATTTTTTATTTTCCTCGTAAAAAAGTCCAAATCCACAAAAGGGTGTAAAATTGGGAAAACCAAGAGGTGAAATAAC